GTATGTATTATGATAACCGAACCTCTAAACATACTAAAACGGCATTTCCAGCATTGGTGATGAACTTAATAAATAATTTTTACTGCACTTATCTTAATTTTTGTTCATGTGTTGAAGTTATATGCCATATCGTTTATCTTGCAGGTCTATTGTGAATTTATACAATTGTATGCAATATCTGCCTCGCAGTCGCTGCTTATGGGGTTGAAGCGTGAAAATGATGTGTCATGGAATTTAAGTTCATGTATAAAAAGCTCCATAAATCTTGGAGAAACCCTTCCAAAGTCAAAAGATAAAGACATTTGAATTTGCATATCATGGAAACGAGGTGTGAACATGTATTGTAGATGGGCTAGTCGTTGGAAGTTGCAATAACATAATGACACTCCCCATCACCCTTGACCACATCACCCCAATCAGAACGCAAGAAGAAAGGCAAGCTGCACGGTGAAGTGGTGGGCACGTACTTTAGACAAAGTTCTTTCTTGCTTTTGTTTGATGTCGGATGTTTCTATATTTTTCGTAATATGCAAACTAATAAGTTTGGGATATGCAAACTGAAACCATCCCATTGCATCCTTGGTGGTCGCACTTGCCTCTCTCTCTCATAACCATATCATTAGATATCATGTGACACGCTGACTTAACATAGGGGAATCAAATCAAGTATTTCTTATTTGGTTAGTTAGAATCTCTGGAGTGTATCATTGGGGCCATCAATTGATGAACACATGACAGCCCAAATAGGCAAGAACTGTAGGCATGATTGAAGCCTCGCATTGCGAGAAGAAGATTGAATTCTGCAGTCCCATGAACGTGCAGCAGCTAAAAAGCCTAAAAAGTACAAAAAAGTAATGAAGTCCCGTGTTCTTTCGTTAGCTGGTGCACCAGATTTCGCGGCAATGACCATGAGGTGTAGCGATTCTGTCATGTTCTTGTATTATAGAATGATGTGCAGGGTCAACGATTTGCGGTGGTATTGAAGGTAAGCACCTGACTTTTTGCGGTGCGTACGGGTTCAATCAAAGACCAGTCAAGCTACAGTTCTGAAGAAAGGTTCAAGAGTTTCATGAAACAAAGTTGTCCACTTGTGCATGTATGTATAACCAACTGTTGTTGGAGTCCGGCGGGTCCGAAAATTGGTGGTTGTGGACGTAAAGAGCTGTGGACCAGCGCAACACCGACAAAGAAAAGTATTTGGATTGTGGTCTATTAGGGACCCTACGATACCAAAGTCAGTTTATGCTGGGGGGATAATATACAAAGTGAGCAAGTCCAATGTGCTCTACATCTATTACCGCCATGTTACTGCCAACTTGAGGAGCCGCTTGATTTGCATATCTACGCCGATTCATGTTATATCTAGATCCATTCCACAACAGCATATGTTCGTTCATTACTAGAAGCTCATACAAGAGCCAAGTTTTGAACAATCATCAATTTATCATTTTCATCCACCGAGTGTTTCATCTCCATCACTTGAAACTACTAAGCCTGCTTACCACCACATAAGATGAAATTCATGGGCAAAAAGTGTTGTAAATCTTGCAATTAGATCAACGCGAAATCTATAAGATATCAGAAATTTACGTGGTTTGATCGGAGTATCGATACCTACTCCACAGTGAGAGCTAGCAGCAAATAATCCTATATAATTGGAGAATCTGAGTTATAATTGCTCACACATTTGAGTGTTTCTCAGAACGAAATGAAGCCCAAACCCAAATTGAATGTAAAATTCACAGCACAAAATCACCGGGTGTGCAAGCATAAAGCAAAAAGCTTTACATTCGGCTGTTCAAGAAAAGTAATCCACCGGCAGGACTTTTAAATGGCAAAGATGACGTCCACCGTACGGTTTTGGCAAGAAGTCCAATGCTTGTGAGAGGATCTCAATCCATCGAACCACTCGATTGACAAATAATATCAAAAAGAGACCATTCGTGATCCTAAAATGGTATACGAAGGTGGTTAAAGCTTCAGCGATTTGTCCCTTTCAAAGTTTCAAGTGGCCTCAACCTTTTGGAACCCTCAGGAGATTTTGAAGATGAAGTCAGAGTTCTAGATGATAGATATGGTTCGCTAAAGTCAAAGGAAGTTGCCAAGCAATCAGAAAAGCAGCGGCGTCCCATGTCATGGGGAGTTATTTCTGAACTATTTCTGGAATTTTCTCCACTGCTGATGCAACAAAGTTTATTAAAAGGAGTAAACAGAAAACACAACGAACACAACATGGTCTGCACATTCTTGAGATTCAATAGCAACATTGTTAAAGAAGATAGAATGCTTATTACAAATTTGTGTGAGTGTGTGTGTCAGGTCGCAGAGATTAAGGATACTTGGAGGAGACTGTGACTGTGACTGTGACTGTTACTGTTGTTGTTGACCTCAGTCAAGTTGAATCCATGGGCAAAGTGCCCTGTGTTTTGAGGTCGGTCGACGAGCCCATGATCCATTGCTTTGCTGGTCCAGTTTCCACGTCCAGGCCCACTCGATCTCACGTCTAGATCCGATCTGTGTCAGCTACTTGGCGGGAAAATCACAGGGCCTAGCATTCGAAGAAAGGGTCAGAAAAAAATTGGAAATCGCAACTTGGCTCGGCTCCGCTTCGTCTCAATTGTTTCCGAAAAACATTATTTAAGGCTTGTGCAAACGATACGAAAGTTTGTTGGGTCATTGAGCGGATGATCGTATATAGGTGCTTTGACACAATACATATGTCATGGACCGAATGTATTCAAAGCACAATATGCCTAGGATGATGGATCATGTCCTGAAAGTTTAGAGTGTCCTTGGTACTCTAGAATAATCTTAAGGGCATTATGGCTAATGTACACTTTAATTATAAAGAATTCGTGTAATTAATGGGGTTGGTGGTATATAAAAATATTGGATTTTCACTGTTAGATTAGGAGGAGATCTACAGTTGTATTTAGAGAGACTCAAGTATGTGTCTGTGTATGGGTCTCCTTCGTCTTATATGTATCATTCCATATATCTGATACAATAAGAGTAATAAAGCATTCTCTCTTAAAACACTAATTTATGAAAGTTTTTTTTGTACGAGGAGTGAAGGAGTCAAAGCAAATACTGTACATGTAAAGGGTGAGGGTCTATTCTTTTGTTGCATCAAAAGAAAGAACCAAATGTAAAGGGTGAGGGTGAATAATCACAACAATCTAGTCTATTGATGATCATGCCTCAAGCTCATCAGCCATCACAACAGTAGGATTATAGGAAGACAACGCGGATGATGTCAATTCAGTTCCCATCTCTAGAAGCATAAAGCAAAGTCTATCCAATAGATAGAGAAGATTTTTCCTTTTGGGCTAGCTTTTAGGTAGGATGATGACCAATTGTTTTGTATAATCCCTTCTAGAAAAAAAAAAAGCATGACCATATCTACATTTTGACAAGCATAAATGGACAATAAATGAAAGCGATTAACGCGTTAATGACGTATATAATTCTCAAATTATCTATCTCACACTTCAGACCTTTGAGAAATCCATATGTAAGGGAACAAAATAGCCATTAGCATCCTTCCAATTGGTTAATCATCTGACCCTACATGGTAATAAATTCACCACATCATTTTTTTTTTGTCTGTTCTATTATAACTCTCAACCCACTCTTAGACTTTTTTGCCCTGTCTTTTTGCAGAGCATGAGAGTCGAAATTCACATTTAAAACTAAATATCCCCAACCCTAGCCCCTCTGAGAAGATGGGGAATCGAACTCCTCACCTCCCACTTTCCAAATAAGAAGGGTGGTCATTGCGGCAAACTCCAGTGGTTAATTCGCCACATAATTTATCAGTAGCTTTTGAGCTTGCCATACGCGTAGTAATTTCTCTACAACAATTAATGCTAAGATCATTTTGGAAAATGTAAAAAAATGGAAGTGGTTCTCTTCGACATCTAACACAAATTCCCTCATTCTTGTGTTGGAAAGGCAATTGATGGAATTTCAGTTTCTCTCGCTCTCGCTCTCTCTCTGTTGTTGAGGAACATTGTAACACTTTATAAATTCTTGTTATCCTTCTTTGGCCAATACAACATCTAAAAACCTCCTCTTCGGAGCCACTTACCATGTAAGTCTCCTAGACTCTCAGCCCACAGTCTGTTGCTTCTAGGACGTTGTTTCTTCTTCTTCCTCTTTCTAGAGGCAATTTTCCCCATCCTAATCGGAGAAATGTCTCTAATTGGTAAGCGACCAAATCGATCCCCCGGATGATGAGTAACTTTACCCATGTACATCCCCATGCACTACTGTCTCCACTCGATTAGCTAATGAATCTTCGCAATGTGTTCATCTAGCACCAACCACAAAAAACCTAACTCTCTCCTCCCATATCTCTTCGGCACAGCAGTGACGCAATCTGCGACGGAGAGGGAGAGGGGGAGGGGAGAGAAGGGCGAGTGTTGTTGCACAGCTTATAGTCACATTGTTAGGCCCGCATGATATACACCAACATGATTTATCAATTTATTGCTTCACGTGTCCCTATCGCGTATTATGTATGGCGCACAAACTAATTTCGAGTACGAACTGACAAAAAGAGTAGAATGTTCCATTGTAGAGCTGGAATTACAAATGACGCGCTGCATCTGGAAATTAGTATTTGCCATTTGGTCACCTAACGGCGGAAAAAACTAACTTTTCAGACTACGAGTACGACAGCAAAAGAATTGTTCAAAGCAGAAATTGCCTCTTCAGCCAGCTACAGCATGGAAACTTCGGAGATTAAAAAGGAGAAAAGAAAAAACCATAGAAATTAGAAGCTTCTAAATTAGAATGCATATATGTATTGCAGTTTCAGGTTGATTTCTCTTTGTGTGAGTTGATTCTCCATATTGCGTGTGTCAATCTGAAGGCAATTGTCGTCATGTGGAGCGTCATCCAGATGTATACAAATGATATCGAACCTGATTGACTTTGATGTACACGTTCACATGTCGGATTGGTTTTACATGTCTATAAAAGGTGGCAACCGGAGCTCTTCTTATCTCAGTCCATTCAGGTGTCACGTTTGGCCTCGCAAATTCTTCCTGAACCATGAAGTCCTTCAGCATTAGAACGCGACTTCTCTCTCTTTCTCTACTCACCTTTCTTCTGTTGACAATGCAGACTCATCTCTCTCGTGCCGACGTCGGCACCGCCGCTCACTACAGTCCTCCATACACACGTACGTAAAATCTACTCTCTCTCTCTCTCTCTCTCTCTCTCTCTCTCTCTCATAAGTTTGTTCATTATGATCCAGCGACCGCGTGTTTCGGCAATGATCCATCGCAATTCCCGTCGAGCAACCTCTTTGCAGCGGCAGGTGAAGGGATATGGGACAACGGAGCGTCGTGTGGGAGGCAGTACCTAGTGCGGTGCATCAGTGCCTCCGTCTCCGGAACCTGCATTCCCAGCCAGACTATCCAAGTCCGAATCGTCGACCGAGCGCTATCCTCGTCTTCACGTCCCTCGAGTAATGGCGCGACCATTGTCCTCTCGACAACGGCATTTGGGACGATTGCAAAGTCTTCTGCCGCAGCCGTCAATGTCGAGTATCAACAGTACGTTCGTTTCCTCACCTATTTGGTTGTTTTAATCAACACTAAGCACCCATTTTTTTTGGGTCGAAAAACTAAGCGCCCATTTAATATAAACTAAACTTGACACGGATTTAGTTAGAGAAACTTGAATTCGATACGGTTGAATGTCAATAAGTTCTATCATTGTAATCTTGATTAGAGGTGAGCACTGGATCCGGTTCTAAACCGGTGTTGAAGCCTCTTTAAAAAAATGTACAAATAATAACATAATTACTTGAGCAACAAATGTTTTTGAAGTGAAATGGAGGAAAGTACCAAAAAGTTGTTTCAATTCAGTCCTAAACCTTTTTCACATTTTGCAAATTGAGTCCATCTGGTCAATTTTGACTGGAAATCTTGACGTGCTAACGTGGACATTTGTAATAATATTTTGAATTTTTTTATAATATTTTGTTCTTGTCTTTTCTTTTCTTAAATTATTTCATTAATTTTTGTTTTTTTTCTTTCTTTTTTTTCCTTTGTTGTCGGCCATTGCGCGAGGGTCAACAAGCCCTCCCCGGCCGTTGGCAAGGGCGGCCCTGGGTGAGGGCCAATTGAGAGGGAAAAAAAAGGAAAGAAAAAAAAGAATTAAAAATTCAACTTTTTAAAAAAATTGTCCTCGTCAGCGCCAATCGTGCAAAGTAGAACGGCTGGCGTTCACACTAGATTTTTGGTCAAAATTAACCGAATGGACTCAATTGGAAAAAATGTGAAAAGTTTTAGGACTAAATTAGTCCAATTAAAAGGTGTATGACTGAATTGACACAAGTACAATAAGTTTATGATATTTTTTGGTACTTTCTTCAATGAAATGGTGTAACTGGCTATTCCAGAACCGACTTGTTCGATTCCTAGTTCTAAAAGATTGGGAACTGGTTCACAAGGACGGTTTTCGATTTTAGGCCGTGAATCAACCTACCTTGGAATCGAACACCTCTAATCTTGACCTTTTCCTTTTCGACAAAAGCAATCTTCACGAATCTCATTGAACTGAATTTACGCTATTTCGAGAAGTGCTAATTTTGGTTGCTGCTCGCTAGGTGCACTAATTTAGCGGCGATAATATTAAGAAATTATGCTGAGTAACCGACACGAATGCAAATGGTGCAACAAAAATCGTCATCTCATACGAATGACACAATGTCTATCAAGTTTGAGATTGAACGTGTAACATTGTTTCACCCGTGAGCGTGAACTGCATCAATTAGAGGTGGCAAGCGCTAGTCCATATGCCTTTGATGACAGGGACTGTTCGTCCTTTTTTATGCGGAAATCGTTCACTTCACGACGGTGATAAATTGAAAAGTCAATGGTTTCGTTTTGTGTGTTTTATATGGTGACGCTGAAGGCAGTGTGTTAACGACGGCAATTTCTGTTGACATCTTTCTTGGCAGGGTTTGAGGGGGACATATACACCATGCACATTTGAGCGGGTCAACGAGTTCGCCCCTCTTGTGATTGAGGAATTATCTGGAAAAATGTCTAAAATGTCATAAACCTATTATACGGCGGCCAATGCAAACTTAAACCTTTCAATTGTGCCAATTCAGTTCTAATTAAATCTATTGTACGATGGCCAATTCAGTCATAAACCTTTCAATTGTGTCAATTTGATTATATATAATCATTTTGACGATTTGCCAATTTAGTCATAAACTTTTTAATGATTTGCCAATGTAGTCCTTCAGCGATTTCTAACCAAATTACCTGGAAGGACTACATTGGCATATCGTTCAAAGTTTTAGGACTAAATTGGCAAAATTGTCAAAATGTTTAGAACTAAATCGGTACAGTTGAAAGGTTTATGACTAAATTGGCTGTCATACAACATGTTTATGACTAAATTGGAACAATTGAAAGGTTTAAGACTGAATTGGTTACCGCACAATTGGTTTGTGACTTTTTTTGACAATTATCAGAATTTTAAGTTCATCCATTAGATATTTCAAGATATTTGATATAATTGTATTCTAGGATAGCTAGTTCTTTCTTGTTAAAATAAGACAAGTAATTTTCCTTTTGGATTAGATTACTTCCTTTACTATACATATCGTTCGAGTATACCTCTTACTTGTAAAATTTCAAAAAGTTACATTATTGAGTAAAGATGTTGTCTTTTTTAAATGTTCTCTCTTACCATGTCATAGGGAACCAATAATATTTACATGGTATTCAAAGCCACCGAGAGAGAGGGACTCGTATAAAAACCCTAGCTTTATCTTGCTCCTTTCTATCAATCTTAAAAAGAAAATAAAAAGGAACCCTAGTCTCCGCCATTATCGTTTCTATCCTGACCAACGGACCCCCGCCATTGTCGTTTCAAGTCCTCTGTTTTTCGTCCATCGATCTTCATCCTCAAGTGCAGCCACAATGAGTCGTCTTCAAGAGTAGCAACATGGTCCTCTGCTTGTCAGGATTTCAGATTAAGCAGTTATCGAGCAAAGTTTTAGCGTTTAACTATTTTCTTTCTTTCTCTCTGTTGAAGATCATAGAACATTTATAGCATACACATCAATGTAAGCTTTATTTTACGCCAACGACTCTATTCACCCTTAATTGGTAGATTAAATGGCGTATAAGGCTGCTTGTGTAATTTTCTTTTATACTAGTGATGTATGCTGTAATTACTCTTTATTTAATCGGTAGGAGTCATATGGGACCCACCATATCCGACGGTCGAGATGATCTTTATACATATGGCACACTAATACTTTCTCCAACAATTTTGTTTTTGTTTGTTCAATTTGCTGTATTATGTATGGCCGATAGGGCCTTACGAAAAAGTCAATTTTCATCATACCATTTGACTCTCTCTCTCTCTCTCTCTCTGTCTCTCTCTCTCTCTCTCTCTCTCTCTCTCTCTCTCTCTCTCTCTCTCTCTCTCTCTCTCTCTCTCTCTAAATTGTCTGGATGATCACATGAATTTGGAGGCAAGAAAAGCTACCAATATGAAGTTGACTGACTCGTTCTAACAAATGTAATCTGAATTTAGATCCGGTTTAGGTGATGCCAAGTCATCTTCCCTTTTTTAAAGTTGGAAAGTTTTTTTTTTTTTTTTGGTTCGAAGGGTTCAGAAGTATCGTCTGAACGTTACTGAATAAACGAAATCAATCATAGTTCTAGATCCAAAACCCTAGACAATAAAAACATCTTGAATTCATTCACACGGAATTATTAATTAGTACATACACTACCTGGGACGCCACTTTTCTTTTTTTAACTTTATTCCTAGTTGACAACCAATTGGGTCAATAAATTCGGTTTTAATCTACAAAGCCCTTCTTTCTTGTCCTTGACCTTCTAGAATGAATGGGACTACTTGTATTTTGCTGTCAAATTCTAGTTTGCATTTGAATTAGCAGAAATTAGTTGGTGGTTACATGTGCTCAACTGAATATGGAGGATTGAATCTGATGAGGACCCATGAGATTTAACAGACCAGATCCAGTTTAGTACATGTGCAATTAGTATATGCTTCCCAATTAGATACCGCGGACGGACAGCAGTGCTACAAGTTGGCTGCAGCCAAAGCTTACTCTTGGACAAGAATCCTTCAACTCATTCAGTGCCTCTATTGGTGTCTTAACAAATATCGACAATTGATGCATTAGTTATAAATTTCATGTTTACCGTTATCTGCATTGATCAACGGTTTGGATGGATGTGATGCTGAATGGAGATACCGATTGGATAGAGGATCTCATTCCCTTACTCTTGAGAGCTAACATCAACAGTTTTGTTTCATCCCTGCTCCCTATAATCTCATGATTTCGCACAATGGATTATCAAAGTCAATCTATGTTAGCCTGAGCACTAATCACATGCCAACTTGATGCACCTTAGTCTGTGGTGATGGGGTTAGTAGGTTCACTATGAATAGGAATTGAATCACAAAGCATCAATAACCACACAAATCGTGTGGAATGAGTATGTATTATGATGACCGAACATCTAATTAATGTAAAGACGCGTCGCATTTGTATCTCATATCGTTTATCTTACATATTTATTGTGTCTTTATACACTTATATGGAATATCTGCCCCGCAACTTAAATTGTGTGAAAATGATGGGTTATGCAATTTAAATTCATGGATAAAAAGCTCCACAAAACTTGGGGAAGCCCTTCCAAAGCCAAAAATATAAGAAAGCCGACTTTGCACATCAAGAAAATGAGGTGGGAACATGTAATAAAGATGGGCTAGTCGTTGGAAGTTGCAAAAACTTCATGACACTCTCCATCACCTCAATAAGAACGCAAGAAGAAAGGCACACTGCATGGTGAAGTGGTGGGCACGTACTTCAGACAGACTTCTTTCTTGTTTTTTTATTTGACGTGGAACGCTTTATCCTTATCGTGAAGCACAACGTAATAAATCTCTGATATTCAAAATGAAACGATCCCGTTTCACACTTTGTGATCGCATTAATTACATTATCGAATAACACGTGACATGTTAACTTAATATCACGGCACCAAATCAAATATCCTTATATTGATCAGAATATCTTGAGCGTATCATTGGGGCCATCGATTAATGGGCATGTGACAGGCCGAATGGGCAAGAAATGCAGGCGTGATTGAAGCCTCATATTGTGAGAAGATTGAATCATGTAGTTCCTTCAGTGTGCAGCAGCTATAAAGCCTTAAAGTATAATACAACAAAAGAAAGTCCGGTGTTCTTTCATTAGCTGGGTCTCCGGCTTTTGCGGCAATCATTACGATCTCTGTAGTCATTCTGCCATGTTCTTGTATCATCGAATGATGTGCAGGGTCAACGGTTTGCGGCGGCCTTGAAGGTAAGGACACTTTTTGCAGCGTGTACGAGTTCAACACAATCCGTTTTTCCAGCTGGATTCAATGGGTATTAGTCCTTTTGTTTGATGCCATTGACCCAACTTTATCTACATTCTTTACGAGACAGCACCAAAGAAAACATCACAATTCCAACGTAAGTTAGGAGCTGGAATAACAACAACCTCGACCGGCGGGAGTGTTTTTGGAGTCTTGCCTCATTGACAGAAGCAATCAAGGACCAGTCAAGCTACAATTCAGAAGAACGTTTTTAAGAGTTTTCGCCAAACAAAGTTGTCCGCTTGTGTATGTATAGATAAACCGTCTGTTTTTGCGCAAATCCGGCGGGTCCTCAACTTGGTAATGGACGTAGAGGGCCTTGGACCTGCACACCACTGAGAAAGGAAAGTACTTGGATGTGGCCTGTTAGGGACCCTCTGGTACTTAAAGTCAGTTTATATTCTAATAAGAATATACATAGTGTACAGAGCAAGTTTAATTGGTTCCACATCTATTATCGACAACTCAAGGAACCAGTAGATGTGCATATCCACACCGAGTTGTGTTTTATCTAGATATCTTTCATTACAGCGGCATATAGAAGTTCATTAAAGCTCTTAAAGAACAAGTTTTGAACGCTCTTCAAATTCTCATGTGCATCGATCTGAGTATTCCATCTCTATCACTCGATGTTACTGAGCCTACTTACCGCCAAAGAAGAATGAAATTCATGGGAAAAAGGTATTTCTTAATCCGAATGGATAGAGATCCTTTCAAAGTATTTAACTAAATTTTACCTTGATACCGCGAAACCCATTTATTGTTTTAGTAATGTGCAATGAATTAAAAAAGATTCCCTATCTTACAGATGCCAATTCAGTTCTAATAAACCATATAATTTTGCCAATTTAGTCATAAAGCTTTGTGCAAAATTCAAATATTATCTTTTCGGCCAATTTTCGCCAGAAATTGCTAGTGTGGTGGTGTGCCATGTAAGACGGTCGGCAATACCTGGATCACCACATCAGTAATTTCCAACGAGAATTAACCGGAAGGATTACAGTGGAATTTCACGTAAAGAATTAGGACTAAATTGGCAAATGTTAAAAGCTTTGAATTAAATTAGCATCCATACAACAAGTTTATGATCGGTTGGACAATTTATCCCAATGTTGACAAGAGAGAGAGAGACCATTCGTAATGCTAAAGTGGTAAACACACGTAATTTTTTTTTCCTTCCTTTTTTTGGTCAAAGTAAACGCAGGTGGTTAAGGTTCCGCGTATTGTCCCTTTCAAGTAGCCTCAGCTTTCTGGAATCCTGAGGGGCATTTTGAGGGATACCATTATAACACGTCAAGAAATTGGGAAGAAGAAGAAGAAGAAGTCAGAGTTCTAGATAATAGATTGATATGGTTCACTAAATTCAAATGAAGTTGACGAGCCATCAGAAAGCAGCGTGTCCTCCATGACATAAAGGAAGCATTTTTCTGGAAATTTTCTCACCAGAGGCTTCGTTAGGCAACCGTTTTACACCAAACATTTATTTTCTTTTCGGAAGAAAGTCAGCACCTATGTAAAGATAGCGAAATAGGTAGAAATTCAATGTCCGTCATAACAATTGGTTGGCAATGTCAATCGGTCACAAATCCTTATCAGGAACCGTATCTTCCCAACTATCCCGACGACTATGACAAAGGCATCTCTCATAGGGGGAAACTAGTCTTCGCTTCTAGAGAAGGAAACCAAATCAAACACTTGCATGCAATGTATGAGGTAAGCTTCTTAAATGTACACTCCAGAGGAAAGCTAGTTTTCCAATCCTAACCTACAAGGCGCACGGGTGAAGATGCGTCCTATAGATGCTTCGTCAAGGTCTACCAGGTACCTGTGGGCCACAAAGCCCGCGATCCCAAGCACAAGAAAGTCTTAATACTGAGATATGTGCGGACGAAGAGTTAATAGACAATAAATCATGTGACTGAAGAAAAGTCGACCGGAAGAACTGCAGATGCCATCGGCGGTTAATTGCATCTATTGTAAAGAATTCAACATAGATTTACAAGATGTACTTCCAGAGCTTCCTGGAAGATGTCATTCGGTCTCTAAGCAGATTTCTTCTCGACCTGACGCATTCCTTCATTCCAGCTTCAGGAATTTATCTTCTAATACAAACAGTGTCAGAAAAATCCAAACGGGGAATTGACTAATCAAAATCTCTCGCTAGCCTAATCCGGTACAAAAGAATTCTAGGTGATGACTGAAAAAAATTGAGCCTGGATAATTACACCAAAACTGCATATAGAAGCTAGAAGAAACCTGAAATTGTCAGGAATGAGCTCCAACACTGAAATTGGATTCTGCACAGCTGAAGAGCACTCAGATATTTTTACAACTCTCAGGTCCCAAAGGCTGGTCTATTACTGAACTTCATTTGTTTGATCGGCTGCACCCTTTGCGAGCGCCAATTCAGAGACTAGCGCAATATGATCACTACCCCACTTCTGAAAAAAAAAAAAGAATAAGAAAAAGACCAAAACGTCTTCATCATCACAAAACAAAATTCTACATTCAGCAAAAAATTTATGCACCTTTATCATATCAATGCTTAGTCCTTTTACTGATAACTAACAAGGTACTAGCTTTGCAATAGCATCTAAAGACAATCTAGAATGCTGAGGAATTTCAATAGGGTAGTCCAATCCACAATAGGTAGCATGTGTTACTTATCTGCCGAGCCAAAAACAAAATGATAGGAAATAAAATGTTTAAGCTCGGAAGCAGAAATCATGAGTAATTTATCTATAAATGATCCTCTATTCTCTTTGTAACTTCCGAGGTGGAGCAGATTCAAGCTATATACCTTAGTTGGGAACCCTGTTGTCCATTGCATAGCCTGTTTGGGTATGGGAGCAAGCACCCTTGTCGTCTGCAGACCTTCAGAATGCCTGGATACGAGATTAATTTCATTAAGTTTTCCAACCATATGCATCATCGGAAAGCAGGTGAAATAACAAGAAGCTAAGAATGTCTATGTATTCTGTAGAACCATTTGAAATTTGCATAGAGCAGAACTAAGAGATGCAGCCTCATCAGCATGAGGAAAAGAATGTCCTCTTCATTTGTTCCTCTAGTTATCAAAGGTCTCAAGTAGGATTTATTTAGATTGGAGGACTTACCATATGTAGTCGACTGTACCCATAAAGCATCGATTGTAACTGGTGACCATGGGTTCCCCGTTTGTGTCTCTAGTCCCAGAAGAATCCTGCATAGATGCACGCATTGATATCTTGGTCTGGACTCTTTCTATGCAGTCTATTATACATGTATACTAAAATAAACAAATCAAGAAAGAATCTCGAGAATGTATAATCTACCTCTACTTCGGCATATGTGCTCTTAAGTTTGAGGGGATGCTCCAAAAAGAGACAATCTGCACTGCCAGTTGCTGTAGCTATCTCCATCGGTGTCCACAATGAAGGATCATAAGTAGAGATCTCCCCTTCAACAGGCTCAAAATCCAAACCAGATGAAAACTCCTTGACAATTTGACTGCCAGGAGAGGAATCTGCGCCTCCTAAGTTGTGTAATGCAGATAAAAATGTGTCGTCATCCTCATAAGAACATCCAACTTCCGTGCTAGATTCTTCTGGCTCACTGAGAGATAACTTCTTCAGTTCCTCATCTATTGAGTCACCCATGGTATCCACAAGTAACTCACTATGTAAGGTTGCAGGATTATCCTGTTTGTCATTGACTGATTGGGATATTACATTCCCTGCAACTTCTGAAGAAGTGGTTTCAGCGTCATCAGAAGTAGACTTTTCGCACGACAACACAAACGAAGTGATCTTTGCATCACTTGAATCTAGAGATTCAAGATCTACAGGGTCACTACTAGTATAGTCTTCGCCTGTAAAGGAAGCTGTCGATACAACGTCTGTGCAATCTTTTGCTTGCAAATTATCTAAATCAGATGGCTCAGTGACACATGAAGAAGCCATCTGATAAGTACATTTATCTTTGCCTGACTTGACATCATCAAGAGGAAACACGGTCCCCCCAACCAAAGTATCAGAGTTTGGTTCTTTTTCCAAAGAAGTATCGGAAGGTAATCCATTTTCATTTGCAGCATCTGCTGGATTCTGTTCAGAGTCTTTTCTCAGTTCATAATTAAGTTTGCTGCTGTCAATTGCACTCCGCCTGTTTGTGCAAGATTTAGCAGAGGATGCTGGAGCACTGTCCGTACACCTATGCTGAAAAGGGTCATCCACATTGAGAGAATTTTCCTTATTGTTATCTTGGTTCCTCTGCTTCTGCTCATCCAAGGTAAAATCTTTTAGCTTATTGTAGTCCACCCGGAATTGAGGTTGACCACTGCAAAAATTTGTAAAGGAGACACAATGTTGGCATTAGAACCATTGGCAAATTCAAGTTCCACTTACAGCTCCAAAATCTGATCTAAACCTTACCGAGTGTTTTGACCATCTGGTATTGTTGGACGAATTTCTGCAGAGGCTTGACCAGATACTTTATCTCTATCTAGTCCAGACAAACTTAACTGCCAAATCAAATGAAGCACACGAGTTAAGAGGCACAGAACACTACCACCCACACACCTACATCATTTCCAAAATAACTGAAAAGGTAATCTAACATGTGAAACTTACCTTCTGCTCAGATATGAAGTTGTACAGAGGACTCTGGTACAGCATAAGGAGAAGATTGTAATGATATATTAGAACTTGAATCAATTGGAGAACAACTAAATCAGGTTTACGGCATGAAAGCAGCACTAGAAATAAGGCATCGAGCAATAACCTTTGGAGTACAATTGAAATCTCCACAAAGAACAACAGGAGCATCAGCCCAGGCTCGGGACACAGCATAAGCCCTGTCCAAAAGAGCCCTTATCTGTTGAACAGATGCAAAATAGCAACTTCAACTACTTTCTCTACAAAAAAACGTAGGTTTATCTAAACAAAATATATTGTATAAAACACTTTTAAATAGAAAACGATCTTGATCATCTTTATCGAGCCCCAGGGTGTTGAGTAACATAATATATAATGTCAAGAACCAAAGAGTAGCACATGTAACATACCATCCCACAGTATGTCCTCTTGTCAAATTCATGTATGTATCTCAATGTGGGACTTATGCCATCGGCATATAAATACATTTTGTACAGAGAACACATAAATGTGAAGATATACATTCACTCTTAAAGAGCAATAAGTATGCAAATCTAGCTTTCTGGAATCTTCCTACAGAATTTTCATCATCCTTTTTTAACTTTTCAGTAACTTTGCAATATGATGTAATTGACTTTGAAGAGAAATGTCCCCATAGCCACACTCAAAACTCATTCACATGCTGAGTTTGTGTGAACCCAGCCCAATTGTTGATCTAAGCTGACATATTTTGAGTCAGCCGACTTGAGATTTTTTCTGGAGGTCTGCGGTGAAAGCCAAGGGTTTGGGACCAGTTTGGCTATTTTTAATTTCCTATTATGGTCGATGTATCTCTTTGATTTTCTCCCGATTGTGAGTGTGAGAATATATAGTATATACAGAGAGTTCTCCGCTGAACTTGTGTATTCCAAATTTTATTGAATTCAGTTCAGCTCATGTATCTCCAGAGAGGTAAGTAAGTGGCCAAACCACATAAATTATGGGTCATTTCTCTATTTTTCTCTTTCCTCCCCTACCAGCCCCCCCCTCCCCCCCTCCCAAAAAAAAAAAAACCTTTTTTTTGCTGGACATGGAGAACCGTGCCTTGAATGGCGGAGCAGTACTACGAAAAAAAACTTAGCTTCCATATTCAGAAACATAGTTGACACTTGATAGAATAGATGAAGAAGAATAAAATCACATGACCAAATTGGTGTGATAGAATATAAAGCTGGATATCCGACCATTTATCACCTGACCAAGCTTAATTTCTCCTCTTTTAGGATTGTAGAGCACATGAATGTTACAAACCACAATCTTTCTAGAACCTGCTGAACTGTCAATGACACAACCAAATGTCACATAAAAATGATAAAAGTATCATGACTGCTAAATAAAAATGAATGCAAAGAAACTTGACCACTCATGCAACAATGCACATAATCATTTAAATAGGCCCCAGGATACAACAAATTTTCATCACAAAGGGTCACTTCAGAGTGCAAATAAATCTTGCAGTTGCATCTCAATATCAAGTTTTTCCTCTTAAGTTTCAATATTACCACAAAAGTTTTTCTTGTTCGTTGTAACAGCTTTATAATCATCATGCTAGAAAGAATGCACCACAGCTTTTCAGATGTTAATGAAAGTTATGAAATTATTATTTTATAGAGTTATGCCAAAGGCACAACCACACTTGGCAAAATATATCAATGTTTTTGATGTTCAAAAACTATATCTAACCAGAAATAAAAACATGACATGGAAATGAGATATGGGAAAGAAGCAGCAAGAACTTTGGTCAGTTCAGAAATTCTGAAAATGAGACTAAATGGACTGGTCAAGAAGAGAAGAGCAACAAGCTAACTTATTTTTGTACAGCTTTCTCAACTTCCACTACTAGTACTTAATATAAAATTTCTCCATCCTTGTTATGTAGTTGTATCCTCGCTACTATGTATGGTAATTTCTTTGTTTGTCTTTTGTTGTACGATTGGGGCTTGGAGAGAGAGAGAGAGAGAGAGAGAGAGATCTTAGTATTACCTGGCTGATTGATGTGCTGTATTTCCAGTCTCATTTTCACTCACTACCTGTCCATCAAGAAAAACTGTGAGTATGAATGAGGTCTAAGTAATCCACGGAATGTCCCTGTTCTTTCTATCATCATTTAAATTAGGTATTGATGTACCTCAAGCACGCATATCTGAGCAACATTATCCCGAAGCCCCAGCTTGTTGAACTCAATGCAATCTTCCCGAAGCAACTTGAACCTAATAAAGAAAAATCAAATTAGTTCGTAACCGCATTCTCCAAATGAGTTTGCTATTATCTGGTAGACTGTGTGGAATTTGAAGAGAAATATATAGATCTCTTACAGACAATAAAGATAAAAGAATTTGGCACTGTCGCAAATAAACAATCTCACAATCTTATGAATCATGCGGAAAAGGAACTAATATTAGCACACACTTTATATCTATCAGTATCCACAATTAATATAATATTATATATTAAACGAGAAACAGTCAATCCTCCAATGTAAGGCCTTAAGGAATATAAACGCTCATATTCTTCAATAATAAATTGACAGTGGACATAGCAGAAGGTACTTCTCATCAAATGAATCCTTAACATGGCGTAGACCAGCTAGAGCTAAAGTACTCATGTAGGCATCATGCTTCTAACAGATTCAACTATAACACGACCCCACAGCTAAGCATGCCTAATGGTCCATGGAGCAAGATCAATCAAATCACAATTGTTCACAGTCATGAAGGAAAATAGATGTTTACCTTGAAGCACGCCAAAAGATTGCACAGCCATCAACTGGATTTCCAGTCCGCATCTACAAATGAGAGAAAAAGCGGAGTTATCTCCATTTTCCATAAATTATTTATCCTCTGCGAGTTGTCCAGAGATATAAGCCATGATTTATGGTGAAACCGGAAAAGAATATGTCAAGAAAAGGCTAGATACTCACATAAAAAATCAATTGGCTTAACAATTTAATATTATTATCCATGTATTATCATCCACATGTCACGTTGTTCATGTAATGAAAATAACATCCGATCCAGACATGCATTGACAAGATTCCTTCGTCTGGATCCCACTGAAGCCATTCTCAAACCCCCAGCCGAGTCAACCATGCATTAGGACACAATCAGCATCCTTTATCAACTCTTATTCTATGCTTCAAAGCAGTCTTGCTGAGACTCAGGATCAAATGGCAATCTCTTTTCTAAAAATCTTAGTGCATCTTTACCCTGATTAACCTTGTTACTGTTGCACACTTGTTGTATGGGATGAACCTCAAGGACCAACAGACACTTATTACATAAAAAGTAACAATATCTTCCTCGGAAGGGCAGAAATCTGAATTTTCCAAACTGAGCAGCAAGCTACTAGAACAGTTATCTGGCCTAAGTTCCAAATCAATATTGACTGGTTCCATACTTTCCAGCTAAAATTGATAACTAATAGACATGATCACATACAAGTTAAAAAAGAAATGATATATCTCAGCAACTTCTTTCTTGGTAGACCTACCAAAATTACATAACACAATCAAAATAAAACAAAACAAGAAAGTATATTCCTTTTCTAACAACTTGTTGTTTAAAGAGCAAATGCAAATTGTGGAGATGAAAATCCCAAATTCTGTTCCAACAAGACATAATATAACTATTGTTGACAGCACTTTATAGAAGTAACACCATTATGTAGACTCATCTTCTCGTTTAGTAAGAAATAGGTGAAAGCTCCTAAAGAAATGCTAAACAAATAACTACGGTAGCTACAATCTAAAGACAAGATCACATATTTCTACATACCTTCCAAATACCACAATATCCTCGTGACTTTAACTCATCCTCCAGGTCATAAAATTTATCAACCTCCTGAAAATAACACGAAACACACATTGCTAATGAAAAAAAAGTGCAACATAATGGAAGCCCTTGTCTACAATTCTTTTCAGGTAAATTCCAACAAGCATGTTCATGTCAGACATGTCAAACATGAAGTAATAAGAACTGTCTGCCATTGCCTCTAACCTTGTCCACCTTTTCTTATTGAATTCTTCAATTAACTCTATCAAACGAATATGAAACAAGCACTACTGCGTGAATGCACATCCCATAGACTTTATATAGTATACAGCAAGGAACCTGAAAGCACATTATGTCAGCAGACCATAATCCAAGCTCAAACAAGATACTTCTCTTTCTCCACTGCCAGTCCAGCATATGGCGAGGTATATGATAGTAGAGTTTGCTTCGATGGTTTATAGCAAGGTAGTCAGCCAATATGTTGTATGAGAGAATGACAAACCGCTCTGCAAAGATGGCACCATTCTAAGAAAGGTTAGATTCAACCTTGGAAGCGGGAAATAGTCGGTGACAAAAAATCATAGGTATGACTGTGAGTAGGTGTTGCATGAGGATCTCGATCTTAAAAATCTGATATCGGTTTTCTTCAAACTAAATATAATAATTGTCTTCTTAAGCACAATCCACCATTAAAAGTCTAACTTCAATAAGTTTAGATGAATGTTCAATTCGAGGCATAATTATCAAGCTACAGATGCAAATTTGTTTAACGAGCAGCTAAACCACTTCTCCCAATAGGATATATGTCTCAAACAGAATTACTTTTACTTTCTCCAGTCTTCTTCTTCAGAAATATTTAATAAAACTAAGATTCTCACTGTAGCTGCAAAATACCAAATCGCATTATAGGAAAAGCAACAAATCAGGGAATCTCAAACTTTTCCAATAATAAAATAAATTTGACTTCTATTGCTAATCAGCATCTGATAATTATACATTAAGGCTATGTGTAGAAAGTTGAGGAGGGCAAAGATTAGGGGAAAGGGGAGGGGGGGGGGCGGGGGGTTTGGTGGGGATTTCCCAATATACATCCCCACAAAGCGTAAAAACCAAGCTTGCAAGTTTACAGAGCTTATGCATAAAACTCATCAAGCTTCGAGTTATTTCCTCCATAGTCAACAGATCACACACAACATCTGCTAATACGGAGAGGCGTATCTTCATAATTCTCATTGTCAAAAGCATGAAACACATGATAGCATACCATAGTCAGAAGGTGGCTCTGTTTTTGCATATTCCCAAATTCGATAGTCGGGAGGTCTTTGCGGCCAAGACCTTTGCTCTTCTGATGTCCGAGTGGCTAAACTCCAATCAGATTGTGGACGTCTCCAGACTGGCTGGTTTTGTTTCGATGGCCTATGATGCTGAAACTGTCGATTTTGATTATATTGCGGGGATTGCTGTATACTCTGACCCTGATTATAGTGCTGGGGATGGTGGAATTGTGTATCATGGCTATAACCAGAGGATAACCCGTATGATTCGCTCTGAACAAAATGCCTTCTTGAATGGAACGGAGGCCGATACCCAGCCTGGATGGCGGAATCACCGACCTCTCCTTGTCGGAATCCATGATTTGCATCCTGGACTGCATGGAAGTGAGAGTCACCAGTGATGAAGTTAACCCTCGCTCCTTGTTGGAATCCTTGGTTTCTACATTGGACCGGGTGGACATTGGAGTCACCACTCGGAAATTGCCCTCTGCCGCCATTGTGCGGGGAGTCAGAGAAGCTTCTTTGGGATGGATATCTACCGCCACGGTACTGCAGGACAAAACCAACATCCACTTACACCCATTGGGCCACAAAGCTATACACAAATCCTAACAAAAATCCAGCTTGAATAGATTGGATACTCAAAATACTTGTTTTGATCAACAGAAGCATCGCCTCGTCGCCGAAAAAGAACAGCTTCAATCCCAATTGACACGACAAAACATATTCCCGACCAATACATACATCGAACAAAAGTTCTTTCGACATGCAGGAAGGATTGCAGCACGGATAATCTGAACATCAACACACACACAAAAAAAAAAGAAAAAAAAGGTATCGTTCTACTGAAGTTCCCGAATCACTGAAGATGAGCGCGAGCGCCTAACAGATGCTATTCCCTGACCAAAGACAGCGACGAGCGCTTGTTTCGAGAGCTCGAATCGCAGCAGCTCAATCGCAATTCACCAATCCGCAAAAAAAAAAAAAACCGATGCGCAGCGGCGAGAGGAAACTCACCTTGGGACGAGGATACATGGCGGAGGCGGCGGCGGCGGAGGCGGCGGAGGAGGTAGAGGCGGCGAGGGACGAGGGGAGGGAGGAGCAGCAGCAGCGCCTCATGGAGGAGAGCCTTCCAGCGACGGGAGACGCGTCATCGACGCGGCGAGAGCGAGCTTCGGGCTGCGGCGCTCTTCCTTTGCTCTCGGACTCGGGTCGGACATGGACACCGCAGCAAGATTGGATTTTTTTTGAAGGCCCAATAAACGGGCCCAACACAGGTTTCGGCCCATAACATATGGCGAGAGAATCATTTATAACACCCGCCACAGCTAATGAAAGGGGAGGTTAAAAATATGGAGGAACATGAAAAAAAAAAAAAAGACTAATTTTTCTCTAAATACAAAGAAATTGCAATCTTTTTTTTCATCTTACGCGATATTCATATTCGTCGCGGTTAATAGAATTAGTCGTCGAGTTTTCGAACGGTAATTACCTGAATTTATGACGATGGACGTGGGTTGTGTAACAAATGAACGACATATGCTGTGTATCATATAAAAGTCTCATGAAACCATTGAAACCTCTCGTTTCAATGTTATCAGTGCTGTACAACAATCGTGTTACTTGAGCTAATATTTTACAGTTACATTTTTTCATTAATTGAACAGTTCTACAAAAGATTTCAAGTTTTTTTTCAATTCTGTCACCAAAAAGGCAAAAGATAAAGTTATAGAATCAAATAAGACATTAAAATTATAAAATGAGGGAAGGGACAGACCTGAACACTGATTTTTGTCCCACACAATGAACCAACCGCATGCCTAGCACTTAAAATTTGCCAATGATCCAATTGTCTTCTACTTCTCAACACCTTCTGCACTCCCTGGATTCCCACTTACCTGCAACAATTGGGAGTCTTGGACAGTCTCTCCTCTCCTTCTTCATGGATTAGAAACACAGAGCAAAGTCCTGGAGAAGATACAAACAGAAGTCATGAATCACAGCCATGATCTTCCTCATCAAGAGAAGCCGAAGCCGAAGCCGAAGCCGAAGCCGAAGGCCGTGATCGTGGGAGGGAGCATAGCAGGCGTCTCATGCGCGCACGCACTCATTCGGGTGGGGTGGGATGTTGTTGTCGTAGAGAAATCGCGCAAGCCTCCGAAAGGAAGCCCCACCGGCGCGGGACTCGGCTTGGATCCGCTCTCTCAGGAGCTCATTGGGACCTGGACCGGACGCCCCGAACTCCTCCATGACATCACCGCTCCTCTCACCATTGATCTAGTAGGAAACTTCATATGACAAGCTTAGTCTTATTTAAGGTTCTCCTGAGGTTTGAGTTATGATTAAGTATTGAAGTATAAGATCACAACCACTGGAGAATTGGCGCAGAATATATCTTTTCACTAGCAATATGAATCTTAATTTCTTGCTTTGCTTGCCAGTGAGGGGAGATTTTAAGTTCTTCAATGAGACATGGGTCCTTTTCTTTGTTTCTTGTTAAGCATAAAGATATTGATCATGTTGATTATGTGGCAGTCCAAAGTGTGTCCTTGTTCTTACCAAATTCTTATGCATCTATTTGTACCAGAACCAAGCAATCGACGATGAGAAAACCAGGAAGATACTAGCAAGAGATGAGAATTTCAATCATAGTGCAGCACACTGGGCTACTCTGCATGACCACCTCTTTAGTGCATTGCCACCAGAAATATTCTTATGGGGCCATCTTTTCCTCTCTTTCTCTTTTTCCTATGATAAGCAATCGGTCAAAATCAAGGCCCAAGTTCTTGATACCGGAGAAACCACCGAAGTAGATGGAGACATGCTTGTCGCTGCAGATGGATGCCTCTCTCTAATTCGCAATCACTTTCTCCCTGATGTCAAACTAAGGTTGTTACCTCTCTGTCCAAATTGTTATGCATCAATCCCTAACTCAGACATTTTGTTAGCTTACCATGATTATGTCGATATAATAGATATTCAGGCTATTGCGCCTGGAGAGGAGTTTTTGATTTTTCGGGGATTGAAGATTCTGAAACTATCAAGAAAGTTAGGCAGGCACATCCGGAGCTTGGAAAATGCTTGTACTTAGACTTGGCGCCCGGAAATCATACCGTTCTTTTCGAGATCCCAAACAAAAGGCTGAACTGGATATGGTATTTGAATCAACCTGAACCTGACTTGCAGGTAATATTCGCCCATCTTGCTCCTCTTCGACTGTACTATAGTAATAGTAGTTGTGAATGTAGTTAAAGATGCAAATGATCGTGATAGACATCATCGTATAATTTTCCTGTTCATTCACAAGATCAGTTGGAGAAACTACATGAGCATATACCTCATAGAAGATCTGGGTATCAATATATCCCAAATTCATTAAAACCTAGATCATAGGAATCATCATAGACGTACTTGTGTTATGCATCTCTTTCCATGAGTGCCTTGTGCCTTATGGAATCTGATCATTAGTCTGTTATTGACAACTACAGGGGAATTCAGTTACTACGAAAGTAAGAGATGACATGATTCAGAAGATGTACCAAGACGCAGAGAAAATTTGGCATCCAGCTTTGGTTCAGATCATGAGAGAAACTAAAGAACCTTTCATAAATGCCATTTACGACTGTGATCCCCTAGAACGAATAGTCTGGGACAATGTGGTACTTGTTGGTGACGCAGCACACCCCACGACACCGCACAGCTCAAGGAGCACAAACATGTCGATTCTGGATGCGGCTGTCCTAGGCTGGTGCTTGGAGAAGTGGGGGTCGGAATATCTAACAGCTGCTCTTGAAGAATACCAATCCATTAGGCTACCTGTTGCATCCAAGCAAGTCTTGCATGCCCGGCGAGTCGGGAGGATAAAACAAGGCCTTACGCTTCCTGACTGCGAACCTTTCAATCCTAACACAGCCACTCCAGAGGAGTGCAAGATGCTTCCACAGAGTGGCTTGCCCTTCTTCGGACATAATCCTCTGCTCGGATCGAGTGACCTTTTATTGGCCGGCAAACGGTGATCATCTCATATTTGTTGCCATTCTGGTCATGTCAATGTGGGTTTCAGTCATGTCACACATTATTTCTAGCTCTAGTTGGATATAGCAAGAGATGTGTCTTCTTAAGTATCCAACCTAAACCAGGATCATTACGGATGGTGACATTCACGTTGGATTTGTGTTAAGAGGGTTAAGGATCATTTCATCTACTGAAGCACTTGGATAGGCAAACTGTTTTATGTAATGTACTTGTTTCTTGTTACAGTCGCAATAGCCCTAGTACAGCAGCACAAAACTTGTTCTTCACTCACACAAATTAGTCAACTTGATTTATGAATAAATAAAGTTTCCAGATCTAACAGTGTGTCAAGGCTAGCCATTTATGCATTAACATCTCAAGAAAAAAGAAAGTTTTCAGTGGAGTTCATTTAAACAGCCGAAAAGAATAACCTAGCTAGTATCTGTGCTCGAACCGAAACATTTGTGTTATAGCAATACAGCAAACATGGCAAAGCTATCATGCATCTTTTGCGGGGCTAATGTAATGTCGATGACAATTTCACATGCTCACGTGATAGGCATCACAGATAACGTTTCAGTTTTGAAATTATCTGATAATTTTGGCAAATGCCATGGCCATATAATAAAACTACTGCATAAAATTTCTGGCCGTCATCGTCCAGCTATGATTCTCAATCATTCTGAGCCAAACTGCCACATGTTCCGACTGAACATCAGGAACAAAACACAAAAGGCACAAACTTTCATGAGACAATCATGTTCATAGATTCCCAATGGAGGGCCAAGAGGAAGAAACCAAGAAACCCACGAAGCCCAAGGCCAAGGCAGTGATAGTGGAGGCAGCATTGAGGGATTATCCTGAACGAATGCGCTCATTTTAGAAGGATGTGATGCCATCGTGGTCGAGAAATCGAGTGTGCCGCCAACCGGGAGCCCCACCAGCGTGGGGCTTGGGCTCGAACCCTCCAGCTGGGAAGCAGATCGAGGCTTGGCTTGGAAGGGTCCAGCAACTCCATGATGCCACTTTGCCTCTCGTTATTGACCAGGTCACTCTCCGTCGTGCGTTTTCTGAGTTCACGAGGACATAAAAGGATATGTCTTTTCAAGTGCTTCAGTCTTGAAGAATAAATGAATGCTTTTGTGTCAGCAAAAATGATTAGGTTCAGCTTCAAAGCGTGCAGCTTTAGTTCGTAATCTAGCTAAGAGAATGCGTGGATTGCAGCTGATACAAAAGCCATAGAAGCTACCAGCTGGAAGTGTAGTTTTCTTAGGACAGAAATTTGAACAGGAAAGTTAAAATAGGTTTCTGTTTGGTTCAGCCAAAAAAGGTATTTCTGTTTAATCTGGTGATAGGCTTAATTTAGTGCATCAATATTCGGAAAGACAACTATGTGCATGATTTATGCGCAAGAACAGAGGCTTGTTATCAGTTCCTATCTTTCTGCTGTAGCCAAAAAGAAGTGGAAAAGAGCTAACAAAAAACGTGCTAGAAGATGTGATATTTCACAGATTGTTTCTCTAAAATAAGATGAGGATCATATATTGTCTTTGCGAAAAAAAAAATCGATTGTTTCACCATCTCAGTATGGTTTCTAGTGTGAGTTACGCCATATTGGACCGAGTCCCACTAAATGAGTTCGAAAACATGATTCCATTCGATCCAATTACTTCTATTTTCCTGAAAAACAATGCATAACAACGCGACGGATGGTGAAAAGAAGGTGAACCAGGAGCCCATCCTCGTGCCGAATTACTGATTGGTGCTGTGTCATGGGAATAGTGTTCCTGTAGTTCAGTCTATCTCACGACAAGACTGAAGCAAAGTCAAGACTCTAGTTCTCAAGACTAATGACACCATCAAGATAACCGGTAACTTGCTCGTCGCAGCAGATGGGTGGTCTGTCTTCCATTCGATTGAGTTTCCTACCCGACCTTAGACTGAGGTTCTTTCTGAAACCAATGAATTTAGAGGCCCCCCCATGCCATTGTTTCATCAGCCTGAGCCTGAACTGTAGTCTGTCGGTAATCTTCTGGTATAATCCTGGTTGTGCTTTTTTGTGGTAAATTTTTCGATTTTGTGAATGCACTGTTGAATGCTGTTATCTTAATCGGGAAAAGAAAGAACATGCGCCGAAATGTTTTGTCTTCTCTGCAATGTTGTATCAAATGAGCATATATTAGATGCCAAACATCTTTAAGCATCGTCAACATGAAACCATTTCCGCATTTTCTTCCATTGTTTAGTGTGCTGTTCCTCGAACAGTGGCTTCGGCATTGACAGCTTCAACTTCGTCCCAGGTCGCCTACAGTGCCGCTCGGTCCACGTGGACTGCGACGGCACCGTGCTCCGTCACGTTCACGCGGAGGATGCACCGAAGCACCACGTGAGCCTCAAGGTTTTGGCGGTGAGAACCCAGGAAGATGACAAGATGGACCCGGCGGTGGACCCCGCGAGTAAGAGCCTCAAGGTTTTTGGTCGAATTGTCTCTTTTAAAAGTTAGGAAATGGGCTATGATCTAATAACGTACGTATCAATTTCCTAATACAAATAACACTATAAAAAAGTTGTACTTTTCACTGATGATGAACAAAATAGAGTCTCGGACCTTTTCATGTATGATATGCATCCATCGTTGTTTTGATGAAGATATGTTCAGTCATTAACCGCACCTCCCCCTGCCTCCTTCAAGTCAAGTGTCGAAGAATTAGGAGAAAATCTCAAGATAGGAAATTATTTTGTTACCGTTTATTTTATTTCCTTTCATTTCTGAATCCTCAGAATTGAGAAGTAGATCACTAGAATTCGGAAGTAGGAAACCTGTTCCTATTTATGCTCCTATTTTCTTGTTATTTTCTAGCTGTCCTAGGCCCTATATATATGTTATGTTCTCTGAAAGTCTGATAAGCTATAAGAAGAAGATGAGTAAGGTTAAGTTGCTATTTTCTAACGTATGCTACCTCTGGACTTCTGCTACACCATCCAAATTCGTGACCCCAACCACATGAGATAATTCCCTCAAAAGTCAAAGTGGTATACTATACTATTTGGTTTGGACAGCAGAATGTGCTCAAGTTAACTCTAAAGAATCCCTAAGAAATTCTTCCTGCTCATTAATAGTTTAAAAAGAAACAGATGATTTTGGCCGCCAAGGCAAAACCTTAGGTCACCGTTCAAATATAAAACAGAGTCTTGCATCAGGCGGGCAAAGAGCCATAGCGGTATATAATATGATATTTAGGGTTTTGTCAACCCTTTTGAGTACACTGGAGAAGGGGGGGTATGGCCCAATGAATCTATTGCACAGTTCCTGCGTCATTGATGACACTCAGAATGAATATTGAATAACAAATGAGTTGGTGGTCCATCTGCAAAATCAGCTGCATTTTTTGTATGACGAAGACTCCAAATCAAAGGCGTACGCAGCAAGGCAGCAAAGAAGGAAGCAAAAGAAAGTCATTCCTCTTGTCGTCAGATCTTCGAAGGTCAAACTCGCGGAAGATTCCTTAACAAAAGTAGAAAAAGGAAGAGGTGCGCATAGCACAAGAATCATTACGATAATATCTGGACAAGAAAGAAGTCATGAAGTACTCTCGAAACATAATCTCCTTTCTCTGAAGATTATTAACATGGTCCACATTATTTGTGCGAGAGCTTACAAATGAGAGATATGCGGTATATTGGTCGAAGATTAAGGCTCCGTTCGTTTGGCGGAAAATATTCTTCTTTTGGAAAATATTTTCCCGGAAGTCATTTTCCTGGAAAATGTTTTCCCGGAACATAATTTTCCGGTGTTCGGCGACCAATATGAAAAAGTTTCGGAAAATATTTTTCGCCGGCGGTGGCGGCGGCGGCGGTGGCCGGCGACCGCGACGGGCGGCGGCCGGCGACCGGCGGCGGCGGCCGGAGACCGGCTGCGGCGGCCGGCGACCGGCGGCGGCGGCCGGAGGCCGGCGGCGGCGGCGGCGGCGGCGGCGGCGGCGGCCGGCGACCGGCGCGGCGGCGGCGGCGGCGACCGCCGGGCGGCGGCGGCGGGCGGCGACCGGCGGCGGCGGCGGGCGACCGGCGGCGCGGCGGGCGACCGCGGCGGCGGGCGGCGACTGGCGGCGGCGGCCGGCAACCTTAGTGAAGAAGAAGAAGAAGAAGCTCCGGAAAATGATTTCCGCTTTTGAAGAAGCGGAAGTCATTTTCCATAGACTTAGGCTATTTTGTGAAGGGGGGAAGGAAAATATTTTTCCACGGAAAACGTTTTCCGCCCCCCGAACACTGGAAAACCCGGAAAATATTTTCCGGAAGAATATTTTCCGCTAAACGAACGGAGCCTAAGATATATAATTCCTCTAATCTATCGCACCGTATTGATATCATTTTAGATTCTTTTATCATAAGAGTCAACTTTGTCCAAACACTTAGGACAAATTATCAAAAAAAGTACTAAACTTATATTTAATCTTAAATCTTTCAATTGTGCCAATTGAATTCTAAATATTTTGCCAATTTAGTCCTTCCGATCAATTTTAGCTGAAAATTGCTGACATGGACGCCGGTCGTCCTATGTGGCACAGTTAATGCTGACATGAACGATCTTTACAAAAATTTAAAAAATGTTAAATTTTTTAATAATTTTTTTATTTATTATTATTTTTTCTTTCTTTTTCTTTTTCCTTCTTCCTCCGCCGGTTGTCGGGCCTTAGCGGTAGCCAGTGACCAAACACAGGAGAGGACTAGCAAGGGCCAACCTCGCCAGATCTGTCGAGGCTGAGCCTCGCCCAAGGCTAGCGAGGCTTGAGCTTGCCGGGATTTGCAAGCCAGGCAAGGGTCAACCTATCGAGATCCGTCGAGGTCGAGACTCGCCTGCGCCTAAGGTTGGCAAGGCTTGAGCTTGCCGGTATTAGGCTAGGTGGAGCCTAGTTAGCCTCGGGCGAGCTCGACCTCGCCAAGATCTAGTGAGCTCGAGCCTCGGCACATCCCAACAAGCTCAAGCCTTGCCAACCTTAGGCGTGGGTGAGTCTCAACCTCGACGGATCCCAACAAGTTGACCCTTGCCTGTGATCGATTGCCAGCAATTGCTAAGGCCTAGCGACCGGTGGTGGAAGAAGGAAAAGGAAAAAAAAAAATAATAATAAATAAATTATTAAAAATTTTGAAATTTTAAAAAATTATAAAAATTGTCCACATCAATGTCAACAATGCTACTCAGGATGACTAATGTCCATGTCAACAATTTCCGGCCCAAATTGGTCGGAAAGATTAAGTTGACAAATTGTCAAAAGGTTTAAGACTCAATTGGCATAATTGAATGGTTTATGACTAAATTAGCACAAGTGCAATAAATTTATG